TGCATTTGAACATGTACCACTTCTGTATCTGAGGAGTCACGAATGGTGCTGAACAATCATCGGCGAACACCACTACTCCTAACCTTGTGATGGAGGGAAGGTCATTGAAGAAGCAGCTGAAGATAATTGGGCCTAGGACACTAGGCCTGGAAACCAGGCAAGCACTTGTGGGATTTCTATCACTGTCAGAACAGTCACCATTCAAAGCAAGATTGACTGACTACCACCTCGTGATAAGTGGCTCTACCATATCCTGGGACTAATAATAAAATCCAACTCAAGTGATAGGGTTTGCTACTGCCCTAATGTTTTGGAAAGCCAACCTCCTGCTCCTAATCATAATTATAACAAAAATTTGTTGTGGTTGGCTTCATGGAGTAGTCAATTTTTACAATTTTGTCTTTGTTAATGACTTGTATTGGTTCAATCTTTGTAAGAGCATGACTGATGTAAAATGTTGCGTGATAAAATCTACAATACGTGGCACCTTTTGACTGAATTACTCAAGTCTTTCTTTTGTGAACTGTCACCCTCCCTGCTCACCTGGAAACCCCTCACTGGATTTATTCACTTGGCTGTTTCCCATGTGTAAGTCTAGCTGGTACATATGAATGCGTTTGTTATGTGCTACTGGGTAGAATTTGACCATGTCTACACAATCAGTAACCTTTTTTGGGGGAAAGGCGTTGAATGTTGCTGAGAAACCCTGGTTTCTGTCAGCTTCTTCATGCCATTCTTCTGAAACGTGACTATCCAAAGCTGCTCTCTTGATCAACTATAGAATAAATGTGGTGGAACACAGTCATGATTGATGCTGTGCTGTATATTGTATCTACACTTGTTTTGCAATGAAATCTTTCAAACATTTGAAACTTCTGATGTTTCTCAAGCCTTATCAGTTGCCCAGTTTGTAGGTGCAGACCTGCTTTGGATCCATAAACCTGGTAGATCGTTGCCAAATATCTATGCTGCGTGTGTGTGTGTGTGTGTGTGTGTAAATCTGATGCTGCTTTCTCCTGACAACCCTCAGTCAACAGCACTAAAACAAATTACATTGTTGTTCTTCTGACTGTCTGTGTGAACACTCAAGTGTCTGAGTGGTTGTCCATATTTGGCACTGCACTTCAAAAAGAGGTCATTCTCTGTACCTGCAGGGGTAAGGTAGGAGACAGAGGTTAATAGTGGAGGGTTGCTTTTTGGACTGGAGGTCTGTGACCTTCCAGATGTTTATAAAATCATGGATAAGGTGAATAGCCAAGGTCTTTTCCCAGGGTAGGGGAGTCCAGAAATAGATGGTGTAGATTTAAAGTCAGAGGGGAAGGTTTTAAAGGGACCTAAGTGGTAACTTTTTCATGCAGAGGGTGGTGCGTGCATGGAATGAGCTGCTAGAGGGAGTGTTGGAGGCTGGTACAATTACAACATTTAAAAGGCAACCGGATAGGTACATGAATAGGAAGGGTTTAGAGGGATTTGGGCCAAATGCTGGCAAATGGGATTAGATCAGTTTAGGCTATCTAGTCGGCATGAATGAGTTGGACCAAAGGGTCTTTCCCTGTGCTATACATTTGTATGACTCTAAGTTGCTATTTCTAACAACACAGCTACCAATATCTGCGACGTCATTGCAACTGGGTGCCTTGCTTCGCCAATCCCAGGGACAGTTAAGAGTCACACATTGCAGGGGCAGCAGATTTCCTTCCCTAAACCACGTGGGTTTTTACAACGACCAGTGACCATTACTGGGATTTATTGAAGATATCTTTAAATTCCAACAGCTGCTGTGGTGAACCTGCATCCCTAGATCATTGATCTGGGCTCTGGATTCCTCTTCCATTGGCTTTTCCATTATACCATGGACTCCCCCACCCCCATCCACCCTCCAAGTGCAAAAGCCTTTGCTATAACTGGAAAAGCCAATGCTGTTTCACGCTTGTTTGAGTAGTTTTTAATCTCCGATGGAACAGTGAGGAAGGTGAGTCCTACATATCTGCATAGGCTTGACGTGAAGGTTGGATTCTGCACAGTGACCACGCACAGACAAGAAAGAGTGCACAGGATACCATCAGAAAATTCACCCTTCCCATTACTGGCTCCGGTCTGTACCATTTACAAGATGCAGCGTGGAAATGTGCTAAACAGCCATTGTCAGTACCTTCCAAACCCTTGACTTCTACCATCTAGAAGGATGAGAATACACCGTCACTTGCAAGTTTCCCTCCAGGTCACACACCATCCTGACTTGGAACCAAATCACTGTGCCTTCATTGTTAATGGTCACAATTCTAGAACTCCCTCCCTTACAGTACTGTGGGTCTGCCCACTCCAGGTAAACCTAAAACCTCTCAGCCTACCACCTTTTCTATGCCAAGTAGGCATTTGGCTTTATCAATGACATCAATAACCATGAAAGAGTTAAAAAAGAATATGAATTTAAGTGGTGAGCAGCAACTGAAAGAGGTTCAGAGGAAAAATATCCACCATCGTAACGATAAAACAGGCAAGAAAGGTTGTGTTGGAGGGATATGACTGAAACGAAGTATTGTCAGTGATGTATCTGAGTACAGGCTGCTGTACTTCAGTTACAACATGTCAGGCTTAGGAACTGTAATATGCCCAGCTTTTTTGTGCCACACATAGCTGTAAAATATACCTAATCAGGTATATAGGGCAGGAAGAAGCTATTCTGTATGAGTACTGGCAATTCCTTTTCGGTTTCAGACACATTTAAATTCTCTTTCCCTAGGGCAAGTTTGGAGAAGTGTTTCTCAGCCTTTACTATTCAAATTGGGTAATTTGTCTGAAAGTATGGAGACTTTAACTCAGTCAACAATAATCTACCACATAAAGGATAACATTCAACTTGAGCCAGCTCCAGTTTGCACTGGAGTTTTGTGGAATTTTCGTGATTATTTTCTTTGTTCCACGGAGCTCTAGCTAAGACTTGTATCCATTTACTTCTGCAGTATATAATCATATCTATTTACTTGTCCATTTTATAAATTTATTTGACAGCTCGTAGCTTAAAAGCTGCTCCAGAAACAATCGGAATATTAATGAAGTGTTTACCCTGCTGCCAAACGTGAGACACAAAATTGAAGCAGCAGTCTAAATGCTCCAGCAGTTTTTTTTTGACTTGATTTATTCTTCACTCCAGCTTCCCAGATCGAAGCAATGTCGACATTGCAGCCTTGCCCATAGAATCGGTCTGAAACACTGGAGATGGGGAATAAATTAAGTTAAAGACCATTGAATAAATGGGACAGTGGCAGCATGGAATGAGGTTGCCTGAATGACAGGAAACTGTATTTTATGGTAGTTTTTCGGACTGGTGGAGCTTCCGTGGGATGGACCCACACCAAGCCCCTGCTGTGCTTTAACTACACTAATGACCAAGACTTGAATGTGCAGGGAACAATTTCAAGATGTGCAGCTGTCACAAAACATCAAAATATTGTGATTTGGGAGGAGTACAGTGATAGACTGAACGAGGGCAGAGATAGTGGAATGGGCAGAAAAGTGGCAGATGGAATTTGATTTCAGGTAATTAATGAATTTAAAAGAGACGTGTGAAGTGTTTGTGTGAAGATTGGAGAAGCTGGGATAAAATGAGATAAGGAGGAGATGCTCGAAATCAGGAGGGGATCTGGACAGTGAAACAGTTCCCATTGCCAGATGGATTGAGAACGAGACAATGTAGAATTAAGGTGACTGGCAAAAGAAACATTTTTTTTATGCCGCGAGTGTGTGGGATCTGCAATGCCCTGCCTGAGAGCATGGTGGAAGCAGATTCGATCAAAAGAGAATTGGATAATTACCTGAAGGGAAAAGACTTGCAGAGGTACAGGGGAAAGGCAGGAGAATGGGAGTTGCCCCCATCTATCCCCACAGCCCTGCAATGTTTTTCCTTTTCAAATTGTATTCAGTAAAATGGACAAACCAAGTTGCATCGAGGACGTAAGTAAGAGTCTATGAGGAGGGAGAGGAAGAAGAATCATCTGTTTCTTGTGGAAATCTTTCAGTAAAGAACGAGGTCTAGAAGTTTCTTTCAGTTTTATGATTTTCGGCATTTTTCCACATATACACATAGTTGTGTTTCTTAGAAGAGGGACAGGGTTAGGATCAGGACTGGATTTGTTTGGACAGGCAGAGAGAAATAAATGTTAATCGGCAGGACAGTAGATAGCCAGAGAATCTCTTCCCCCGCCACCCTCCACCCCTCCTCCATGCCCAGCCAGTTGATCAGCTCACACCACATTTCGCAAGAGTATAATCAAGAACCTGTATGGTTTGGGTGCTCCATGATACTATCTACCCAATCAGATCTCTGGAAATGATGGAATACCGTCCATTTGCCTGGATAAGTGCAGCTGCAGCAACACTCAAGAAATTCAATGCCATTCGGGACGAACCTGGCCACGTTCACTGCCTGGAATATTCATTTCCCGTCTCTACTACCAACATATAGTAGCCGCACTGTATACCATCCACAAAATACATTGTTGCAACTTGCCAAGCCTGGTTTGATAACAAACTTCCAAAGCATGATCCCTACCACCGCCTGTGCATTCCTCTACAGGCAAACATCATCCTGACTTGGAACAATTGCTGATCCTTCACTGTTGCTGGGGCAAAATCTGCAAACTCTCTACATTGCATGAATAGAGTGATTCAAGAGGCATCCCATCATCTCCTTCTCAAGGATAATTAGGGATGGGTAACAAATCAATGCCCATATCCCATGAAGGAATTAACATAAAGTAAATGGGTTTGCCACATGCACATTCTGGGCATTTATATAATTACAATTATATAATTATTTATATTATTTATATAATTACACAAGGACACACCAATCATATTGGTTGGACATGGCATTGGACTGAAAATGACAGCCCTAAGTTCTCCCTCTTCAAGACTGAAAACTTATTCATCAAATAGTTTTTAACTCAATCTAAAGTTTTCTGTAACAGCACCAATTTCTATTGTTGTTTTATTAATAGGTGATCTCCTACATCCTGCACTTTCTATCTATGTCTGACAGGAAGGAAGCATCTTTGGTGAGCAAAGCTTGGTACACTGCCTCTCTGGACCAAAATCTCCAGGTAACTCTCTTTTCAAAACAAAAAGTTGATATACTTTACATTTTGAACGCTCCTCCTGAAGGCACAGACTCTTTCTAGATTACAGCTAGATACGGATTTCTATCCAAATTAACCTTGATGGGATGTAAGATGCAAAAGGTAGGATCCCGCCCGAGCCTGATCTCGTTTTGTTCTGATCTCCCCACTTGTCTGCAGTTTCCAGGAAGTGTTTTTAACTAGCAAGCAGGATCAGGAATGCTATCTGATGCGTTGTTGTTTTTCCTTCTTCCATTTCCAGTCTCAGGAACAATGTAATAGACAATTGAAACACCGCTGCCTCACCAATGGATCAGATAACTCAACACTAATATCCACTCCAGCAGAAACTCCTCATTGACAGGAAGAAGTCCTGTAATACTGTCAAACTGGGAGTGAGACCGAGGAATTTAACTAGACTAGGGGATTGTGGTCAAAAGTGAAGGGACTCCAGTGGATAGTTCTCAAGAGTGTTAAAAATCTTAAATTTCATTTGCTGCATACTATGTAAATGATCATGATTAGGATGGGTGTGTGGGACTATGTTGAGAGATGGTGCGGATCAGAGCCATGTGAGTGGCCATTGTCACTAGGAGTCCCCTTTATGGACAATGCAATGTCAAAAAGGGTGGGGGAAGGGCATCTTCTCTATTTATAGATGCTTTCAAGGGCCAGACAGTGACCATCACCAATAAGACAGAATCTTACCTTTGCCCCCTGATATTAAATGGTTCTACCATCATTGAATCCCCCCTTATCAACATCCTGGGGGTCACCATTGACCAGAAACTGAATCGGACTTGCCATATAAATATTGTTGCTGCAAGAGCAGGTCAGAGCCTAGAAATCGTGCAATGAGTAATCCATTTCTCGACTCCTCAAATCCTAGCCACTATCTACAAGGCATAAGTCAGGAGTGTGATGGAATACTCCCCACTTGCCTGGATGGATGCAGTTCCAGCAATACTCAAGAAGCTTGACACCATCCAGGACAAAGCAACCCACTTGATTGGCACGATATCCACAAATATCCACTCCTTCCACCACCGATGCTCAGTAGCAGCAGTGTCTACCATCTAGAAGATGCACTGCAGAAATCAATCGAGGCTCCTTAGATAGCACCTTCCAAACCCACAACCACTTCCATCTAGAAGAGCAAGGGCAGGAAATACATGGGAACACCAACTCCTGTGAGTTCCTTTCTAATGCACTCACTGACCTGACTTGGAAATATATCGACATTCCTTCATTGTTGTCCTAGATCTCCCTCCCTTATGGTATTGTGGAATTTCCTTGCAGGTGGGGAATGAGTGCCTTTCTTTAATACCTTCTGAAGGCTGCTAGGTCAAATGGACTGCAGCAGTTCAAGAAAGTAGCTCAACTAGGTATGGACAAGAAATGCTGGCCCAGCCAGCTACGCCCACTCCCCATGGATGAACAAAGAAATAGAGAGGTTTGTCTTCCTTCATTGAAACTAAGGCACCTGATATTACCTAGCTTGGAGTACTGCCTGTATTAGAAGACACAGAACTCATCAAAGATCTTCAAAATGTCACTATCTAACCAATGTTTGCTTTCTTGTATAGAAAAACGTTTTCTATCGTCTCCAAGGAACGTACGATTCTCTCGAGTTTGTCAGACACTTGCGGTGGAGACAGAGTCTCTGTGTGGCTCTGAGCAACCTCGATGGCTCGCCTACCTCACGCATGGTCATCCAGAACATAGCTCTCCACCTGGCCCCCCACCTGAAGAGCCTCTTGCTGCGGGATAGCAACATCACCGAGAGCTCCTTCATGGATTTGGTCCCGTCCTGCCGCAGCCTGTGGGGGCTTGATATCAGCTGCTGCAACTGCCTTTTCAAGCCTGGCACCTTGATGGCAGACGAAGAGAGCAAAGCTAGAACGGCGGAAGCCTTGGTCGATCTCCGGGAGCTGAATCTCTCCAACCTGCGGTACCTCTCCGACATGACCTTCAATCGACTTACTGACTGCATGCCCAAACTCAGAAAGCTAGCTCTGGCTGGCTGCCCCATCGTCTTTGAGTTGGATCCCTACCGAGGAGTGAAAACATGCAATTCCCCTCCTACACTGTCACTGACCAACATCCTCTGCTTTATGGACAGGCAGGCGGCCACGCTGAAGTGGTTAAACTTCAGCCGCACCAGTATCACAAGTGAAGCAATACAGTCAGTAGTCCAGGTGCCCGGGCTTCAGCTGGAAGGCCTGGTGCTTCAACACTGCAAGGATTTGACAGACGACGCCGTCTGTGCCATCTGCTCCTGCCAGCCAAGCCTCACCAGCCTGGACCTCACCGGTTGCGCTGAGCTGACTGACAAGTCCGTCTTGGCGGTGGCCAACCTGCAGTTCCTGGAACGTCTCTCCCTGGGTAAGATCCGGCTCATGACAGACCATGGGCTGAAGAACCTGTCCTCCATCCCCACCCTGCGAGCCCTCGACTTGTCTGAGTGTTACCAGGTCAGTGGCCTTGAGCTGGTCAACAGACTGGCCTTGCCATACGCCACACCGACTTTATTCAGTCTCAACTTCAGCTGCTGCACCATGGTGAAAGTAAGTCACACCACCCCCACTGTACTGAACACATAGTAACATCCCTGAATTTTCAACCGGCTTGGGCGTTAACTGGGGCAAGAAAGAGGGAGAAATCTGTGGCAGGAGCTCGTTTTGCCATGAGTTTTCAGCTCTTTTTTATTAAATCTTAGATGTCCAATTCCACTGGAATTAAGGAATGAGTGCATCTCTCTAATGCCTCACCTCTTTCTGAAGGCTTGTTAGCAATCATAGTCGCCCTACTGTGTTGCCTTTGTGGTGATACTGCAGAGTAGGGAATTCCAGGATTTTCACCCAACAGGGATGAATGAAGGAGTGCGTTTGCCCAAAATTGGACTCTTGTTTCTCTTCTCTTCCAGTTCCCAGGCCAGCGACATTGAAATAATGAATGAGGTGGCACCGTAACTCGGTGGTTAGCACTGTTGCCTCATAGCGCCAGGGACCCGAGTTCAATTCCACCCTCGGGTGACTGTCTGTGTGTGGAGTTTGTACATTCTCCCTGTGTCTGCGTGGGTTTCCTCCGGGTGCTCTCGCTTCCTCCCACAGCCCGAAGCTGTGCAGGTTAGGGTGGATTGGCCATGGTAAATTGCCCCATAGTGTCTGGAGATGTGCAGGCTGGGTGGGTTAGTCATGGGAAATGCAGGGTCACAGGGAAAGGATACGGGGGTGGGTATGGGTGCGATGCTGTTCACAGGGTTGGTGTGGAATTGATGGGCCAAATGGCCTGCTTCCACACTGTAGGGATTCTATGATTTAAAAGAAACTATGATTGAAATGGTCAGTGTAGACTCTAATCAAGTGCCAAAATTTGCAGCAGTGATTGTGAATCTCATTGTCCTCCCAGTGGGACTGATTTTAGGGGGGTACTCACTCAAGTGTTTGGTTAAATTTCGTAGGACAGCTGCGTTTTCTCAATGGGGGTGATCCTGTGTGACAGCCTGCGGGAATTGGACCTCACCTCCTGTGTATACATCACTGATTTCAGCATCTCCATTATCGTCAACTACCTGACGGGCCTGACAGTACTACGGCTTGGCTGGTGTAAAGAGATCACGGACAGGGGACTGCTTGGAATGAGCATAGCCAATGACAACTGTCAACTCGACGAGAAGGTTTGCTTTTCGTTACCTGTGATCCTACCGTGACCCCTTGATGTGAGAGCCGCTACTCTCTCGTAGCTTTGATCGATCTTGCGTGCAGACTAGCAACCCTGGCCAGTGAGTGGAGGCTCGTGGTTGTTCCTTGCATGTTAATCTAAAACACATCCACTTGTCCCTTCATTTCTGACTCTGCAAGTGCCCTCGATGTAGTTATTGGTGTAAGATGTTCTGATTTTTATCCTCTCCTTTTCATGCCCCCACCCCCGGGTTCCTTTCTTGCGTACAACATGGAAGGGTGATCTTATTAAAAGAAATTAGATCCTCAGGGGACTTAACAGAGTGGATGCTGAAAGGATGTTTTCTCTTGTGGGAGCACAGGACCCAGGAGAGATGTTTTAAAAATAAGGGGTCTTCCGTTTAAGGCTCAGATGGTCGTGAAGTTTTGGAACTCTCTTCTCCAGAAGCGGCAGAGATAGGTCATCAATACTTTTAAGGCTGAGGTAGATAGATTATTGACTGGTGAGGGAGTCAAAGGTTAGAAACGTGGACGGTAGGAGCAGGAGTAGGCCATGTGATTCCTCAAGCTTGCTCCACCATTCAATATGATCGTTGCTCGATACCCTAATCCTGCCCTCCCTCGCTATAACATGATCTCTTTAGCCACAAGAGCTATTTCTACCTCCTTGAAAACACAATGCTTTGGCCTTAACCACTTTCTGTGGTAGTGAGTTTCACAGGCTCACCACTCTCTGAAGAAGAAATTTCTCCTCATCTCAGTCCTAAAAGTTTACCCCTTTATCCTTAAAATGTGACCCCTGGTTCTGGACTCGCCTTGGCATGGGAACATCCTTCCAGCATCTAATCTGTCTAGTCCTATTAGAATTTTATAGGTGTCTATGAGATTTCCCCCCATTCTTCTATACTCCAGTGAATATAATTCTAACTGACACAATTTCTCCTCATACATCAGTCCTGCCATCCCAGGAATCAGTTTGGTAATCCTTCGCTGCACTCCCTCTATAGCGTGAACATCCATGTTCCTGTACTCGAATCCTCTCGCTATGAAGGCCGACATATAGTTTACCTTCTTTACTTCATGCTGCACCTGCACACTTACTTTCAGTGACTCGTGCACAAGGGAAGTAACGAAGAGGACTGATGAGGGCAGAGCAGTGGATGTGATCTATACGGACTACAGCAAGGCGTTCAAGGTTCCTCGTGGTAGACTGGTTAGCAAGGTTACTTCACATGGAATGCAGGGAGAATGAGCTATTTGGTTACAGAGCTGGCTCAAAGGTAGAAGACAGAGTTTGGCGGTGGAGGGTTGCCTTCCAGACTGGAGGCCTGTGACCAACTGTGTGCCATAATGATCAGTGCTGGATCCCCTGCCTTTTGTCATTTATATAAATGATATAGGTGTGAACATAGCGGGTACAGTTAGTAAGTTTGCAGATGACACTAAAATTGGAGGACAGCGAAGAAGGTTACTTCAGAGTACAACGGGATCTTGATCAGATGGGCCAACAGACTGAGGAGTGGCAGGTGGAGTTTAATTTAGATAAGTGTGAGATGTTGCGTTTGGAAAGGCAAATCAGGGCAGGATTTATACACTTTATGGTAAGGCCCTGGGGATTGTTGCTGAACAAAGAGACCTTGGAGTGCAGATTCATAGTTCCTTGAAAGTAGAGTTGCAGGTAGATAGGATGTTGAAGAAGGCATTTGGTAAGCTTGCCTTTATTGGTCAGTGCATTGAGTATTGGAGTTGGGAGGTCATGTTGGGGCTGTACAGGACATTGGTTTGGCCACTTTTGGAATATTGCGTCCAATTCCGGTCTCCCATCTTTAGGAAGGATGTTGTGAAACTAGAAAAAGTTCAGAAAAGATTTACGAGGGCGTCGCATGAGTTGGAGGCTTTGATCTATAGGGAGAGGCTGAATAGGCTGGGGCTATTTTCCCTGGAGTGTCGGAGGCTGAGGGGTGATCTTTATAGATCTTTTTATAAAAGCATGAGGGGCATGGACAGGGTGAATAGCCAAGGTCTTTTCCCTAGGGTGGGGTGTCCAAAACTAAAGGGCGTAGGTTTAAGGTGAGAGGGGAAAGATTTAAAAGTGACCTAAGGGGCAACTTTTTCACGTAGTAGGTGTTGCGTGTATGGAATGAGCTGCCAGAGGAAGTGGTGGAGGCTGGTACAATGACAACATTTAAAATGCATGTGGATGTGTACACATATACGAAGGGTTTAGAGGGATATGGGCCAAATGCTGGCAAATAGGACTGGATTTATATAGGATATCTGGTCGGCATGGACGAGTTAGACCGAAGGGTCTATTTCTGTGCTGTATATTGCTAAGACTATGACACCCAAGTCTCGTTGAACATTCCCCTCTCTCAATTTACAGCCATTCAAATAATAATCTACCTTCCTATTTTTACTATGAAAGTGGTTAACCTTACCTTTATCCACATTATACTGCATCTGCCCACTCACTCAACCTGTCCAAATCACACTGCAACATCTCTGCATCCTCCTCACAGCTCACTGTCCCCCCCAGCTTTGTGTCATCTGCACATTTGGAGATATTACATTTAGCTCCCCCATCTAAATCAGAAGCATATATTGTGAACAGCTGGGGTCCTAGTACTGATCCCTGCAGTACCCCACTACTCACTGCCTGCCATTCAGAAACTGACCCATTTATTCCTACTGTTTTATTTCCAGTCTGCTAACTGACTTTCTGCCAGTCTCAGTGCATTACCCCCAATCCCATGTGCTTTCATTTTTCACATTGTAGAAACATAGAAAATAGAAATGTAAGGTTATTGAGAGTTTGGGGGGAATGAGCATTTGACGCCTCAATCAGATCAGCCATGATCTTGTTGCCTGCTTGCCATTCTCAAGGGGCTGAATGGCCTACTCTTCCAATCTTTGTGCTCATAAAACTAGAACCAACCAGGAGCAATTTTAATTCAAAGATCACATATTTGAATTATTGATTGATATTTTAAAGGTCCACCACATCTTCAGGAAAGATTTTATGAAGTAAGTCTTAATAATGCACTTAGAAAATCATAGTATGATCAAAGTCAATTTGTGTTTACCAAATTAATTAGAATTTATTTTGAGGACATAATAGGGCAGCTGATAAAGGGGAGTTGGTGGATGAAGGTGAACTTGGATTTCTGAAAGGAGTTTGATAAGGTACCACATGAGGGCTTATGGAGTTGAGAGTTTGTATTAGTATGGACAGGTTAATGCACAGAAAGAAGAGCGAGGAGAATCAGGGGATTTAAAGTTGTCAGGCTGTGACTAATGATGCATTGCAAGGATCAGTGCTGGGGCTGCAGCTATTTACAACGTATATAATGGCTTAGAGGAAAACGTTGACTAAGACGTATCTAATTTTGCTGATGATACAAAGTGGGAATGTAAGTTGTGAGGAGGACTTAGAGGCTGCAGAGAAACAGACAGGTTACGTGAGTAGACAACAAGATAAAACAGATGGAGTATAATGTGAGGAAGTGTATCGTTCACTTGGGCTATAAGAATAGAAAAGCAGACTATTTTTAAAAGGTGTGAAAATTCTAAGTATTAAAGTTCAGAAACACTCTGAAAGAGGGTTAAAACAGTGTGGAGCTGGAGGAACACAGCAGGCCAGGCAACATCAGAGGAGCAGGAAAGCTGACGTTTCAGGTCGGGACCCACCTTCAGAAAAAAATGAGGGAAAAAAAGGGTTGTTTGGTTTCCTGCTTATGACATCATTAGGTTCCAGGAAAAGCCCATGTGACCTGGCATTTTCTGATGAAGGGTCTAGGCCCGAAACATCAGCCTTCCTGCTCCTGTGATGCTGCTTGGCCTGCTGTGTTCATCCAGCTCTGCACCTTGTTGTCTCAGATTTTCCAGCATCTGCAGTTCCTACTATCTCTGACCTGGCATTCAAACAGCTTTGAAGCAAAGAGCAAATTGGAATGCTATTGGAGTTGGGTCAGCCCATGTTTCCTATTTGACAGTTCAGTACAAGAAACACATAGTCAGAATTCAGGTACAGCAAGTAGGAAAGCAAACTGAACATTGGCCTCTTTTTTTCTTTTAGATTTTAGATTTAATTATCATGTGTACTCAAGTACAGAAGTACAGTGAAAAGTGTATAATGTTGCCACATATGGCACCATCTTAGGTACCTAGGTACAAAAAGAGCTTAGGTACAAAGTAGTAAGAGAAACAAGAGTTTAAAATGTTAAACACTACTTCATAGAATAGTGGAAAAATAAAGAAATAGGTAATAGTTTACGTTAAAGTCTTTCGTAGTTTAAACTACAGGAGAAGTTAACACTTCAACAGTCTTTGATCAGTCCTTCACTTATCTCAGTCTGTGGTGAGACCTCAGCTGTCAGTTATCGCTGCTGCCTCTCCAGTCTCCCCAGATGCCTTGGGAACATGCCTGGACAGGATGCGCTCGCACGCCAAGCCAAGACACCAGGCTGAGAGACCAGGAGCCGCTGAAAGCCACCTGCTATGAGATGCCGAGGGACGGGGTGGTGAGCTCCAAGAGGGGGAAAACACTTAAAGGGGGAAAGAAAAGAGAAAAAAAAGGGAAAGAAACGAGAAATAACAGAAGGAGCGGAGGAGCTCTGGTTGGAGCCTCCTACTCTGCCACCATCTTGATTGGTCTTTTGGAAGAGAATTGAAGTATAAGAATAGAGAATTCTCGCTACAATTTTAAGCGTTTCATGAGAGCCTTAGTGGTCTCCTGTCTCCAGTTTTGGCCACTGTACCTAAAGAAGGATATAGCTACTTTGGTAGTAACACAATGGAGTTTCACTGGGTTGGTGCCTTCAATGTGAGGACTGTCCTATAGTGAGCAAGTGAGTAAACTGGGCCTGTACTCCCTGATGTTTAGAAAACCAAGAGGTGATCTCATTGAAAGATTCAAGATTCTGAATGGGCTTGACGATGTTTTATTGAGGTTGGTGGTGCTCGGTGGGAATTACAGAAAATTGAAGCCCAGATATGCGGCCAATCATTTAGGACTGAGATGAAAAATTTCTTTGCTCAAAGGGTTGTAAATCTGGAATTGTCTAACCAATGTAGGTGCTCCATAGCTGAGTATAGTAAAGATTGAGATTGATTGGTAGATTTTTAATCTATGAGGGAATCAAGGGTGTGGGAGTGTCAGGAATGTGGAGTTGAAGCAGAGGATCATAATGATCATATTAAATGATAAAGCAGGCTCAGTCATAGAATCCCTTCAGTGTTGAAGCAGACCAGTCGGCCCATCGAGTCCACACCGACCCACCAAACAGCATCCCAACCTATCCCCATAACCTTACATTTCTCATGGCTAACCCATCTAGCCTGCACATCCCTGGACACGCTGGAACAATTTAGCATGGCCAATCCACCTAATCTGCATATCTGTGGACTGTGGGAGGAAACTGGAGCACCCGGAGGAAACCCACACTGACAGTGGCCCGAATGTGGAATCGAACGTGGACCCCTGGCGCTGTGAGGCAGCAGTGCTAACCACTGAGCCACCGTGCTGCCCTCAAGAAGCTAAGTGGTCTATTCCTGCTTTTTCTTCTGTTCTTAAACATTGAAATATTGAAGGCATAAGTACATGACCACACCTTACTTACAGTAAGAAGAAAGTAAACGTCTACTGTGATCTTTATGCAGTCTTTCTTTGGATGGATTGTTTGTAAACCTAAAGCAGTTATGTTCCTTTTTTTACTTTATGTAACAGATCTTCCAATTTTAAACGCACTATATTTTCAGGTTTATAGTAAGTATATAAATTAAGAGCTTTAAGCTTCAGTGTTGATATTTTTTGAACAGGGTGAAAACCCATGAGCTTTGGAAAGCATGCATTTTATTTTATACGATGTCTCTTTAAAAATAAAATGGTTTTGGAGCACTCTGCAAGAGGGTTGATTGGTTTCCTGCTTATGACATCATTAGGTTGCAAGAAATGTCCATATGACTTGGCATTCAAACAGCAAAGAACAAATTGGAGTGGTACTGGAGTTGGGTCAGCCCATGTTTCCTATTTGATGGTTCAGAACACACCGAAAATTTGAGGAAGGAGGAAACGAGTGAGGTTCGCTCTGACTGGAACTGTCTTCTGTTTGGCAGGCTTCGGATCTGCTGTTGCAGCATGTTTCTGCAAATGGAGAAGCTGTGTCACTGTGTGTGTTACACAGCCAGAAGGAGCTGGGTGCAAGTTAGAGTGATCAAGGGATTGTGGATTAGACAACACCCATTGCTGCTGTCTGTGTTGCCACTGGATCATAGCCGGAGAAGGAGTCTCTGGGGATTCGGTGCCAACTAGACTGTTGTGACTCAAATGAGAGAAGATTAGCTGATATGTGCCTTGCCAATGATAATCATCTGCAGGTCTGGCAGCATCTGTGGAGGAGAAAACAGAGTTATCGTTTCGGGTCCGGTGACCCTTCCTCAGAACTGATGGTGGCTGGGAAAACGTCAGTTTATATGCAGAAAATAGGGAGGTGGGTGGGGTAAGGAGTAAACGATAGGATAGAGCCCAAAGGGAGAGAAAGACAGTTGGACAGACAAAGGAGTTGCTAACGATCAGGCTGGGAGGGTGAATAGTTGTTAATGGGGACTGTTAGTGACTAACAACAGGGAGTGTGTAGTGGCAGGCTATGTGGTAACAAGGCCCGTTGTCGACAGGGCCCTCAATCGGGTCCGACCCATCTCCCGCACTTGTACCCTCACCCCTTCTCGTCCTTCCCGCAACAGTGATAGGGTTCCCCTTATCCTCACCGATCATCCCACCAGCATCCACATCCAGAAGATCATTAGATGCCATTTCCGCCACCTCCAGCAAGATGCCACCACCAGACACATATTCCCCTCTCCTCCCTTGTCCGCCTTCCGCAGGGACCGTTCCCTCCAGGACACCCTGGTCCACACTTCCTTCACCCCCAACACCTCCCCACAGCCCTATGGCACCTTCCCCTGAACCGGCAAAGGTGCAACACCTGCGCATTTACCTCCTCCCTCCCCAGTATCCAAGGGCCCAAACATACCTTCCAGGTGAAGCAACACTTCACCTGCACTTCCAAGAATCTAGTCTACCGCTTTCGCTGCTCACAATGTGGTCTCTACATTGGGGAAACAAAGCATAGACTTGGCGACCGCTTCGCAGAACATCTACGTTCTGCTCGCAAAAAAGACCCTGAACTACCCGTTGCCTGCCACTTCAATGCACCACCTTGCTCCCTGGCCAACATCTCTGTCTCCGGCTTGCTACAGTGTTCCAGTGAAGCCCAGCGCAAGCTGGAGGAACAACACCTCATTTTCCGCTGGGGACCCTGCAGCCTTCTGGACTAAATATTGAGTTCAATAATTTTCAGGCCTAAACTCTCCCATGTCCCAGCCCCCCCACCCCACACACCAGGCCTTGTTTCCACATAGCCTGCCACTACACACCCCCTGTTGTTAGTCACTAACAGTCCCCATTAACAACTATTCACCCTCCCAGCCTGATTGTTAGCAACTCCTTTGTCTGTCCAACTGTCTTTCATGCTCTTTGGGCTCTATCCTATCGTTTATTCCCTACCCCACCCACCTCCCTATTTTCTGCATGTAAACTGACATTTTCCCAGCCACCATCAGTTCTGAGGAAGGGTCACCGGACCCGGAACATTAACTCTACTTTCTCCTCCACAGATGCTGCCAGACCTGCTGAGCTTTTCCAGCAACTTTGTTTTTGTTCCTGATTTACAGCATCCGCAGTTCTTTTGGCTTTTTATCATCTGCAGGTATTTTGATTAAAGTTGGAAAGAGAGTGAGATTGCATGCGGTCACGGATTTGAACGGGAAGTAATGTGAGTGCTTGTATCTATATGAAGCATATCTTTGTATCGACTATTTAAAACGAAATTTACCACTTGCTTTGAAATACCCTTTGCCTGTTAGCTATGTCCTAATTATGTTGATTTTAGTCCGCTTTTTACAGTAAAAGTTTTAAATAGAATCTTGTTCAGTGGTTCTCTTTTTGCTGGCACTGTGGGAATTTTTAAACGTTTTTGTAAGTGGTCAGCCTCTGTGGGAATTGCAATGACAGTTCTTTCTGGGTACAGCTGCTATGCATCAATAAAACTAATAAATCTGTCACAGTTTGTGATAACTGTCAGGATTGGGGGAGGTGGTTAGAAATGCCTGAAATGAACTCTATATATTGTACGCTGTGACCAGTAGCTCACTGCACTGTCACCAATAAACTTGTTGAAACCTGAGTTAAGGCTGTCACAGACCAATGTCCTCTGCTGCAAATTTTCTAAGGATTACAGACTTATGCATCAATATGGGATTTGAAGATTAGAAATAATATGTTTTTAGAATGTGGAACTTGCTACCATGAAGGGGTCTTTAAAGAGAGGAGCACACATAAGATGAAATTAGATAAGTACTTGAGGAAGAAACAAAGGACTATGTTGACATGGTGTGCTGAGGTAGTTTGGACAAGGCTCATGTTGAGAATGAACGCTGGTATAAACCTGTTGTTCTGAATGGTCTGTTCCCTGTCACAAGTATTATGTAATCACATTTTCGAATATAATGATTGAATGTCACTTATTGATCAACAAACGATATATATTTCCCTTTCCAGGGTGATAATGAGCAAGTGTTTAGTGGGACATTTTGCTAACTGGAATTTTTTGTTGCTTCTCCCAAACTTCAGGACAAAAAGGCCCAGATTATTACTGAGTCTGAACTGAAGATTTCCAAAGAGAAAGACGGAGCTACGCTGAGATCACTGATGTGTCTTAAGGAGCTCTGTTTGACTGCATGTACGAAACTAACAGACACCAGCATAACCAAGGTACTCCATGCCGAGCACTGCTGAGGTTGTACTTCATAGGTCACGCTCCAGTAAAATGGAATAGAGTGAGTAAAATAATTACACATGAATGTAGTATTGGAATGTTGCAACATTGAAGGCTATCAGCCCATCAGAATTGTGGACTCTTTGAAATAAAACTGCCTAATTAGAGCTGATCTTGAAATCAATTTCCTAGCCCCACAAATATTTCCTTTTCAAGTGCCTATATGCTTCCTCTGTGGGGATCAGTTAGCTCAGTTGGCTGGATGGTTGGTTTGTGATACAGAGTGACACCAATAGCACAAGTTCAGTTCACTGAGATAACCATGACAGACTCTCCTCTACATTTGGACTTCTCGCTACTTCTTGGTAAAGTCTTCATTCTAATCAAATACTGACCCAACTCGTTCTTGACGCAGTCAATTGATAGAGCAGTCACTCAATTTGCTAATGGGTCTGTTGCTTTAGTCCACTATGTTATGTGGCTAAAATAATATGTTTTTAGTTTTAATATTGTGCAGAGTTTGGTATATGTCCTTGAAGTCATAGGATTGAAATACATACAAGCGTTCAAATACTGGTATTATTTGTTATATCATTAGAGTATAGTTATATTGTGTAGTTAGTACTGCTGCCTCACAGTGCTGGGGACCCGGGTTCAATTCCATCTTTGGGCCACTGTCTGTGTGGAGTTTGCACGTTTCCTCCCGCAGTCCAAAGATGTGCAGGTTAAGTGGATTAGGTCATGCTACGTTGCCCCATAGTGTTCAGGGACATGCAGGCTACGTGGATTAGCCATGGGAATGTGGGGTTATGGTAATAGGGTAGGCGGATGGGTCTTCGGAGAGTTGGTGTAGACTCGATGGGCCGAATGGCCTCTTCCCAAACTGTAGGAATTCTATGATGTCCATGTCATTAGGGATTATAGAGTGATCAAAGTCCAACATTTCCCCAGAACTATAAACCGGCTCTGGTTCTGAGCTTTGCTTGGTAGTTGAAAGCAAAATGCCCAAATCACCCTTTTCATCTCTTATCCATGTCCATTGTATCAGTTCTGCTTTCACTAGAAGAATGCTAAATGTAGCTTTGTTGATGTTCTGTATAGAATTAAGATAATCCATTGATTTCTAACCTGAGTTCTTCAAATTTATGTTGCCATTAACTTAAACCTCTCACGAAATAATCTATTCTTACCCTTTGTCTTCTCTTTCAATATATGTGCTACCTTGCATGTACCTCCATCCATAACCAACTGGCATCCTTAGGCCAATGTACTTAATTAGTGCAGATCCTTACGTTTCTTGGCAGTGGAGGGAAGAGAGTGACTTCATTAAAATGCATATTGTGACCCACACCTGAACCAGATGGGTGTTATGGGAATTTGACAATGGTTACAATTAGGCAAGCTGTTTATTCTAGATTTTATTGAATTCAAATTTCACCATCTGCCATGGTGGGATTCCCTAGCATGTGGGCTTGCTAGTCCACCACCATTACCACTGCACTGTCACTTCCCTGATGCTAACCAGAAGGAGAAATTGAATCTGACCTAGCATGATTTCCTTTTGAATTGCTTCCTTAGGAAATCCGCTTTCAGGAGCTGAAGACCTTGTCACTGAACATGGTCCATGAGATAACAGACGAGAGTGTGGTCTCAATTGCAGAGCATTGCCGTAGCTTAGAAGGGCTTTCCCTCAACCACTGTGGCCAACTGACTGACCAAGGCTTGATAGCTGCTGCAAACCACATGAAGAGGCTTACAAACCTTGAAATCTCCTGCTGCGATAAGATCACCAGCCAGTAAGTCACAATAGTTTGAAAGTAAAATTAAGTATTCAGACATTTGCTGTGCCTGAAGTGCGGTTTGACTCCAGTTATATCATTCTGGATGACTTAGTATACAAAGGCCATGTATTGGAAAGGACAAAGAGGTCTGCTTTTAACCCGGTGCTTGCATCTGAGTCAGAACATTGTCCAAAGACTTGAGCATATGTTCGAGGCTGACACTTGCAGTGTACAATACTACATTGTCAGAGAGGTGCTGCCCTTCTGAAGCAATGTTAATCTTCTCTGATATATGTAAGCAAAGGAGGTAACTTCTCTCAGGTGTTCTGATCAATATTTATTCCTTAACTTCTGGCACCAAAATTCTGATCAGTACTTTGTAATTTGTGGGGGCTGACTGTACAGTTTTTGCTGGTACATTTCCTACAATGCAACTGTGATGACACATCAGACGTATTGGTTGTAAAATACTTTGGGATGCCCTGCCACTGAGAACGGCACTATGTAAATGCAAATGTCTTATTTTTGCATTCTACCAGAGCGCATAAGGTGTCATTTTTTGAAGCAGGATTTTGCTGCCTTGGTAAATAGCTCAGGAAATTCACAGGTTCAATACCCAGTCTGTGCAGAATCAGCCAATAACAGCCTAGATTGCAGTCTTGAACGTTACACTTTTCCTCAGCATCACTAAGCCAAGCAGGCAAACACCAGTGATGGTACCTACTGCTGCTTCTCAGGCAGCAACCCACCGTTTCATATCCAGGAAGAATGGCGTCTCGTTTCCCTCCCTCTCGCACCCTGGGCCGAATAATCTGTATGTGGATGTAGTACCTGCCCTTGTGAGCCAATCCAGACTATGGCATCGTTAAGTATAAGAAAGATCGTGAGTAAATCCGGGAAGGAATTTGGGAGAACTTCCTTTACCCAGAGAATGGGGAGAATGTTACCACGTGGAATAGCTAAAGCAGCTGGCATATGGAAAACAAAAATGGAAATTGCTGGAAAAGCTCAGAATCTGTGGCGAGGAAATCAGAGTTAACGGGTGAGTTCTGAGGAAGGGTCACCTAACCCGAAATGTTAAGTCTGATTCCTTCCACAGACCTGCTGGCAGACCTGAGCTTTTCCAGCAACTTCTGTTTTTGTTTCTGAATTACAGCATTCTTTGGTTCTTTTGGTTTTTTAATTTAGCATACAGGGAAGCATGACTCAGCACAAAAGGGATTAAGAAAAAGATTTTCTTAAAATTGGATGAAGTGCATCTTGCAGGAAGTCTTCTGGAATCCATCAACACTATCATAGACCTGCTTTTTTTTTATTATTCATTAACGAGATGAGGGTGTCGCTGGCTAGACAGCATTTATTGCCCATCCCTAATTGCAGTTCAGAGTCAACCACATTACTGTGGGTCTGGAGTCACGTGTAGCCCAGACCAGGTAAGGATGGCAGTTTCCTTCCCTAAAGGACATTAGTGAACCAGATGGGTTTTCCCAACAATTGACAATGGATTCCTGGTCATCATTAGACTCTTAATTCCAGATATTTATTGAATTCAAAATCCACCAACTGCCGCGGTGGGATTCGAAACCCGGTCCCCAGAACATTATCTGGGTCTCCGGATTAACCAGATAGTCCAGTGATAATACCAATTAGCTATCACTTCCCCGGTGCTGCAAAATTCAATGTAATTTTATACTTATGTTTGTCATCTCTCCTTCACACGGTTTCACCTTCCCAGGGCACTGGAAGTCCTCGTGCAGGAGTGTAAGTGGCTGAGGAGTCTGGATGTTTCCATGTGTGGTGGGCTGACGATCAGAGACATCGAGCGACTTCAGCTAGCTCACCCCAGGCTCACCAGCATTAAGGCCAAATATCTGGAGGAGCAGACCATTTCCTCACTCTTGGAGTGAGACTGGATAGCCGAGTTGGAGCTGGACCTGGAGAACACAGCTTAGTCCCTGTGCAGCTGAAACCAGGCGTAACGCAACATTCAGCAATCAGCTTCCAGCACAGCTAATTTTTTTGAATGTGTGTTGCTTGGGTTTGATGAAGTTAAGATGCAGAAAGGTGAGTGTGGAGCATGCTGTGTGAAAATCAGTGTGTTTTGTTTTACTTTAGTCCTGGAGTTGTATACTGCAGTCAGGGACTGGACATTTGTCATTTTGTTTTCTAACTTATTCTCAATCGTTTCCTACCTCATCAGAAATTCTTTATGTTCTAAATTGAAAGCACCCAATTTCAGCTATTGTTTCATTCTTATTGGAAGATTGGCGAGTTGACTAGCAGGCTGCACCTCCTGCTGGACTTTAAGCCTGGCACCCATCGCTGTTTCCAGCAGAGGTAGCTACTGTTCCCTGACCCCAGTAGAGCTGCTACACCCTGCCACCCACCTCCATCTCTAGAAGACGTGCTGCTGCATCCCATTACCCTTCGCTGTTTCCAGCAGAGCGAGGTTCTGTATCCCTGCCACCCATCCTCGGCTTTAGCACAGCAGGAGAATGGGGCAGAAAGTGCAAAGAGAAAGCCCAGTGAAGGTGTTTCTTTGAGCAAGTTCAGTAATAGCTTTTTTTTTGTAAAACAGATCTATGTCCTGTTAAACATCATTGAGCCTCCAAAGAGGAACTGAACAGATCTTGAATTCCCATGTGATGAAACTGAACTTTTACCCACACTTCTTTCCACCTTGATTTTTTGACTCCAATTTGCTATGTACATATTCACCCTGTCCTTTATCCAGAGTCAGGTTAGACTTGACAGACTGTACCGCAGAGGTACTCAGGCAGTTCTTCTTACTAAAAGGTATCTCTGAGATTGAAGCAAATGTCATGGCCTCACTTTCGGCCGTGGCTCAATTGATAAAGGAAATAATGCCCAAGATTAAATTAGTATCTTCGGTGGTGTTTGATCTTTGTGGGTTTTGGATGGTACTTCTGACCCCAGTACAGTTTAAAACTCACATCCTACTGAGTTGTCGGAGTGCAAGTTCCTTTGACTGCTTGATATTTGCCTCATTACTGTGCATGTTGCACTACAAATCTGCCAGCAGCTATGTTGACAGGATTCAGTACTAAAGTTGTACCCTTATGTGTTATTTAAGGTTGAATTTTTTTAAAATGTTCAAATCTTGCTAAACGTTTGCTTCCGTTGTGTTCTTGATGGGAAACTGAATTTAATTTTTAAGCAGCTCGACTGTGTCGTTGCAGTGAGCTCAAAGTTGGGGCTGTTCTTGCCCCATGGGTCACTTACTCTGATAAATCTGTTTTGTTTAAAATAAAGCTTGCTTAACTGTAGCCTTTTGGCTTGGCTTAAGGAGGATGCAATGCAATTGTGAAGCACCATATCCCATCTCACCTGTTGCTCCTTTCCTGATGATGTGTATGTATAACAAAATTAAAAGCATGTAAGATATCTTTCACAGCATCACCCAAACCTCAGGGGTAAAGGCTACATCACTGCAGGTTCCCCTCCAAGTCTCACACCATCCTGACTTGGAACGATATCACAGTTTTCCTATTTTCTGAAAAATCCTGGATTTCTCGGTCAAGATCCTGGAAATCCCTCCTTAACAGCACTGTCAATGTACCTCCAGCACATAGCCTACAGTGTTTCAAGAAGGGGCTTACCACTCTATTTTCAAGGTCTGTTAGGGAGAAGCAATAAAACATGGCAAGTTCTGTCCATAGCCAGTGAATGAATGTTTAAATTACAAACCTAACTGTAGAAAGAAGCTCCCTTAGTGGCTCAGTGAGAGGAAGCCTGTAACCAGACCATCGACAGACAGATTTCAGGTCAGATTCCTAACCTGATCGCACAATTAGTGCTTTACACTTGACCTTCGGGTAAAAGACATCCAAATCTCTACTGCTGATCCCTGGCCATTGCCAGGAAATAGCCATGTACGGATGTCTACTGATACTCTCCACAGTTCAACGGCAACACTTATATGTCACCAGTAACATTGTAAAGCATCCTCAGGAGCTTCAAGAGTATGTTAACAAACAAACTATGACATTAAATCACATAAGATGATTAGGGAGACAGGTGACCAACAGCTTTGTCAAAGACACAAGTTTTGGGAGCATCGTACAGGAGGAAACAGGTTAAGCTGAAGATATGGCCAAGTAGTTCTAGTCAGGGATGTACAAGAGGCCAGAATTGGAAGGGTGTGGCTATCTTAGTGGTAGGAGTGTAGAGATGGGGGCAAGGCCACGGAGGGATTTCAAGGCAATGATAAAAATTTAATGGTAGGTGTTATTAATCTGGTTGCCAGTTCATGTCAGTAAATATGCTGCTGGGCGAATAGGATGCAGATGTGAGTTAGGTTGTAGGCCAGAGATTTGGAATGAGCTTGTTTATGGAGCATGAAAGATGGGAGGTCTAGTCTAGAGGTATCTAAGGCATGGCTTCAGCAGCAGGGGAACTGAGACTGAGTAACTGAGGTCACCTTGATGATGGTACAGATGTATGACCAGCCTCTCAACCTGGAGTCAGATATGAAACCAAAGTTGTGAACAGACTGCTTTAGCCTCAGATGTTTGCCAGAGAAGGGATAAATTTGGTGTCCCAGTTTATTTAAACTGTCAATGCTCCTTTAGACAGGGTAGTGAAGAAGGTGTTTGGTATGCTTGGTTTTATTGGTCAGTGCATTGAGTGTAGGAGTTGGGAGGTTGTTGCAACTGTACAGGACATCGGTGAGGCCAATTTTGTAAAACTGCATTCAATCCGGTCTCCCTGCTATAGGAAAGATGTTGTTAAACTTGAAAGGGTGCAGAGAAGATACACAAAGATGTTCCTCGGATTGGAGTGTTTGAGCTATAGGGAGAGGCTGAGTAGGCTGAGGCTATTCTCCCTGGAGTGTCGGAGGCTGAGGGGCAACCTTATAGAGATTTATAAAATGATGAGGTGCATGGTTAGGGTGAATAGCCAAGGTCTTTTTCCCAGGGTAAGGGATTCCAAAATTGGAGGGCATAGGTTTAAGATGAGAGGGGAAAGATACGAGAGACCACAGGTCAACCTTTTCACACAGAGGGTGGTGTGTGTATGGAATGAGCTGCCAAAGGAAGTGGTGGAAGCTGGTACAATTACAGCATTTAAAAGGCATCAGGATAGGTACATGAATAGGAAGGGTTTAGGGGGATATGGGCCAAATGCTGGCAAATGAGACTAGATTAATTTAGGATATCTGGTTGGCGTGGACATGTTGAGAGACTAGATTAATTTAGGATATCTGGTTGGTGTGGACATGTTGGACCGAAGGGTCTGTTTCTGTGTTGTATGACTCTGTGACTCTGACTTGGGGGACGAGTTCTTGTACCCTGGTCAGTACCTTTGGGACAGGGACTACCGTGAGTAGCTTGTGTTGTACCTTAATGTTCTGGATGGGTAAATTCAAATCTGCGTTTCAGAGTTATTCATTGTGTGTATGTTAGTTCAGCTTCTTGTGTTGAGCATTTTTGTCTGTGCTGAGGTTGATAATCCCTCCTCCTGGCTGTTCAGAAACAGGGCCATGTTGCACTTGTACTGGGAAAATAAATGTCTATATCGCAGCGTGAGAAGCCAGCAACGCCACTTCCCCAGAACAGAATTAGTGACTAACCCTAATCTACACTTGCAGCTGTGAGAGAGAGTGAATCGCCCCTGTCCTGCTATAGTGGATGAACCAATGAATGTACCAAAATGTCAGCTGATAGGATGACTTGATTCAAACCCTTTCCACACATGGAGCAAGTGACAGATTTTCAGCTGGGAGCTCACTGCAGCCTGGGTGACAGGATAAATCTCATCCCTTCCCACCAGCACTCTCGGAGAATGGCCACTTCTCCTATTGTGTTCGCAGTTTGTTTAGCCCAATCATCCCTCCTAGAGGTAAATGATCAGTCAGCATTGAAGAATACAGGGATCTGACGATTGGAGGGGGTGGGGGTCGCAGATATATGATGGGCTGAGGCTGTGAACATAGATATTAACTTTAAAATGTAGTACAGTGAACATTGGGTCGGAGGGATTCTCCCCCTCAATCCTGCATGTTCACTCTGAGGCATTGAATAAATATCATTTAAATGGCCATTCACCACTACTCTTCATTATTGTACAACCCAAAATGTGCTTAGGGATGGAAATCTGCCATCCTTACCTGGTCTGGTCTACATGTGACTCCACAGCTATGGAATGTAGTTGATTCTTAATTGTCCTCTGAAATAGCTTCAGTTTACTCAGTTCAAAAGGGGCAACCCCCATATCTGAAGAATGAGGGAAAAACATAAGGACATATCTTTCCTTCTGTTAAAAAGTATCTACAGTCATGGATCTCCCCTTTGGTTTTCATTACTGAGAGACAATGGGTTTGCCCAGAACCAGTGAGTGGGTGCAACCATTGGTAATTGTACTCAGTTGGCACAGCATTCATTGTACTGACAGCCAAATGTGAGCGATCAGCATGACAAACGTTATGAATGTGGAATCATAGAATCCCTACAGTGTGGAAGCAGGCCATTTGGCCCATCAAGCCCACACCGACACTCCAAAGGTCATCCAGCCCAGGCCCAACCCCTTACCCCATCCCTGTAACCCACCTAACCTGGCACATCCCTGGACAATTTAGCATGGCCAACCCACCTAACCTGCCCATCTTTGGACTGTTGGAGGCAACCAGAGCACCTGGAAGTCAGCGACGCAGACACTGGGAGATTGTGCAAAGTGACACACAGCTGTCCAAGGGTGGAATCAAACCTGGGTCCCTGGCGCTGTGAGGCAGCAGTGCTAACCACTGAGCCACCATGTCTCCCCTGTCAGCAACAATCAACAGGCAGGACTCAGTAAAATTCATACAAGAACAGCACAGTAGCTCAGTGATACTTTATTGTGAATCAGAAGAAAGGCTGGATAGTTATGATCTATCAAAGGCTGCTCATTTCACAGCAAAAAAAACCAGAATCATTTTCTTACAAAACATGTTAAGACTTTTCTTTATATATATATATGTATATATATATATAAAATATGTACATAACAAAAAAGCGCTTCAAAAAATCCCCAAAGCAGTAGTGTCATTGTCAATAAATTAACCAGTACCTGCTCCTCGAGTTTGATCCAGTGTATATCTGTGGCTATGCGCAGTCCATCAGAAGAAGCCTGTTGACTGGGATTGGTTTCAATTGGCAGATTGTGAGATTGAGCTACAGCATCAGCTTCTCGTCGCTGTGAGACTGTATCTCCATTGGGATGCTCTCATTTTTTAGCCCACTCAAGTTGTAGGCCCTGACTCTTGCTGTGATGCCATTTTATGGGCTGATGATGGTCCTCTACACACGATTGGCCCTTCTCCCTGCTGCACCACAACTAGTGAGCTTTAGTCGGCTGTTTAATTGCAGAAGGCTGCACATTCCCTGCTTACTTACATACATGTTCAACTCTAACCTAAGGGTTTGAGTGCTGAATCGAGACTGACTCTCTAGTGCAGTACTGAGGGACTACTGCCAGAGCTGACTGTACAGTCAGATGGATGTAAGTGATCTCACAGAGCTATTTCAAAGAACCCTTCCCTTCTGTCCTTGACAATCCATATTGACAACCAATCTGATAAAAACACAAGACCTCATTCATCTCATTGCTGTCTGTGGGAGCTCCTTGTGCAATAATTAGATGCTTTGTTTACTGCAGTACCACAGTGACTGCACTACAAAAGTGCTCCGCTGGTTGCAAACACTTTGAGGCCTCTGCTGGTCATGAAAAGTGCTAAATCAATGCAAGTCTTTCAAATATTACTTTGCACTCCGAGTGCCATAATGTTTGATGTTTTTCACGCAGAGGATGGTGCGTGTATGGAATGAGCTGCCAGAGGAAGTGGTGGAGGCTGGTACAGATACAACATTTAAAAGGCATCTGGATGGATATATGAATAGGAAGGGTTTAGAGGGATAAGGGCCAAATGCTGGCAAACGGGACTAGATTAATTTAGGATATCTGGATGAGTTGGACTGGAGGGTCTGTTTCCACACCGTACATCTCTGTGACTCTGAGTTAGATCCCTTTCAGTACATTCCTTTAGGTTTATCCCAGACAAGCCCAGGCACAGAGAGTTAATGTGGTTTGAATATAAAAGATTGACAGGTAATCTGATCGAGTGTTTGAAATGATTTGATTGGGTGAATACAGGGAAACTAGTCTTTTTCTGAAGAACAAAGGGACATCATTTTGACATTACAGCCAACCCACTTGGGAATAAAGTCTGGGAACATTTCTCATATTAAGTTGTGGAATTCTGGTTTCACCATGTCCCCAAAAGGTGCAAAGGGGAAAACTGGACCATTCCAGGCTGAGAAACATGGATTTTTGTGGGGTCAGGATATCAAGGTTCGTGGAGGCAAAGGCACATAAAAGTTACAAATTTGAGACGCTCCAACTGAATGTAAGAACATGGTTGAGGGGCTGAATGGATTACTCTTGTTCCTATGTTCCCCTTGCTTCACTGGAAGTTCAATGTCATGCTTTTGAATGGTTTGCCATTGCCTGTAACCAACAATGATGACTAACCACAACATTACAGGAGCTATATGCTCTGAAAAGTTGCAATGTTATTTCATCTTAACTGTCTAATTTAAGACTACGAGCAAAGTAGTTGTTCCATTTCTAACTCCCTACCCCTCTGATTTTAGGTACTGCTCAATTCAGCTGTTGTTTCAAAGTAACCCTTCAGTCACCTATTCGTGGAAGCACAGAAAATAGTTGGGGTAGGCCATTCAGTCCATTGAGCCTGCTCTGCCATTCATTATGATCATGGCTGATCAGACAACTCAACGCCTTGTTCTCACCTTTCCGCCCCAAATGTTTTGATCTGTTTAGCCCAACTGCTACATCCAACTCCTCCTTGAAATCATACAATGTTTTGGCTTCAACTACATTCTGTGGTAGAAGACCTCATCATCTCACTACTCTCCGGTAAAGAAATTTCAGTTCTGAATAGTTTATCCCGTATCCTTAGACTGTGACCCCTGGATCTGGAATGTCAGCTGTGAAGGGCATCCAAGATGAGCACAGTCATGTTTTTGCCCACAGATCACTAGTAATTCAGGAACTTTAACTTTATCTCATCTCTTCTCCATAGCTCAATAGACCATGAAACATTTGGGGCTCTCTTACTTGATGGGACCCAGCAATACGAGCACAAGGATAGGACCAGAACCTCCCTTCTCTGGACAGCTGAATAAGCTTGGTGCATTTACATACAGAGGTCTTTAGGAACAGTGACTGCAGATTTCCAATTTTAACATAGCAGATCCCATGATTAGTCGCTTCTCATGGCCTCCCTGGCACCTCTGCAATTGACTGATATTGATACCAGACTAGTAACACATGAGTAGGGGCCTTTGATACACCATTATATGGTACTGAGTAAAAAGCAAGTTTGGTACAAGTGTTAGAGAGTTGGCAATATCTTGACTATGTAACACTGTGCATTTTGAAAAATATCTGAAGCAGATTAAAACTAACCAAATAGGGAATAATTTTCTTGTGCTCTGCTCTCCTCAGTACACTTTTAAGAATCCTTTCCACTTCTGATTTTCTGTTCCCCTCTCATGCTAACTTATGCCCTGATTATGCATTATGGTACAGCATAATTGAGTACAGAGAACTCCTTGAAAGAAAGGCAAAATACTGCAGATCCTGCGAATATGAAACAAACACAGAGAAAGTGGGAGAAACTCAGCAGGTCTGGCAGCATCTGTGGTGAGAGAAACAGAGTTAATGTTTTGAGTCCAGTATGATTGTTCTTCAGAACATCACAATTGTTATTTTTTTTTCCATCATGTGTTCTCGGGAAGTGGGTATCACCGGCAATTTAATTTCCTATGAGATGATGGGGGTGGGATCTCTCCACTTGAACCAATGCAGTATCTGTACACTGCTGTTGTTTCATTTCTCCAGGCAGTACGTTGTACGTATACGTTCCACTGTTTGAGGACAACACCAATTAGGAACTGCTGGCTCAGCTCTGTTCCTCTTCCCTCCCCCCTCCATGGTTAGCTGAGGCCACTCGTGGTCACCTAAATGCATTCCCTAGTCAAGTCCAACTAACACTCGACTTGCTGCTGCTGCCCCAGGCTGTACCATGACCCAAAAGGGGGAGGGGGTAGGGGGGTGGGGGGGTGAGGAGCTGAAGACAGGCTCAGATCCTGTCACTGAACCTCACAAGTGGATCAACTGCATTCTTCCAACGTCAATTTTTGTTTGAGATCAGGATCCATTTCCAAATTAACACATAATGATAACGGCATTACTCCTTGCAACCCTCTCAGTCTTATGGTTCATGTGAACAATTCACCCAATGGGGAAGCAGGCCTTCACACCTGGCTCACTCACTCACTGGCCCTCATTTCTGCCACAGCCTCAGTGGAGACCAAGGGAAAGTGTAGTCATTGATTAACATGTGATAAAGTACGTGGGACTTTTCAATTACACCACCCACAGGAAGTTCTGCCCAGTGTGTGCGTGTACCATCGGTCAGTGGGTGGGTGGGTGAGCCTGTGGATTCTGCCAGCTGAGCTCAGTATCCTGCTGTTTCTGGGTAAGCTGGTCCCCCTCCTCGCCCCCATCTCCCTTCCAACCCCCAAACCCAGGATAAAATACAGGAGATGATAATTGGCGAGACCATAATGCCAACAGGCGAGAAAACTAAATATACCAAGTATGAGAACTTCCTGCCTCCTTACAATCGTCTGTCGGTGGAGAATCTGAGAGGGATCACCAGCTCTGAGGTACCTGTACCTAGATGAAGCTCTGGGACAGTCAGAGTTGCAGGCGATTTGGCTGAATTGGTAGGATGTGCAAAGTCAGGGAGGGCTGTATAAATGGTCTAAGATCACAGTGTTAATGCAACCTGCCAACACCCAATCTCAGCCTAGCCCACAGTTAAAGACTGGCTGCCAACAACAACAACAACAACAAAAATGTCAGAGCAAATTAGTGCAGATGCTGGAATCTGTACTGAAAACAAAAAAAAATGCTGGAGATCACAATGGGTCACATAGCATCCATGGAGAGAGAGAGCAAGCTAACATTTTGAGTCCAGATGACTGTTCATCATGACCAGCTTCACAACCTCCCTCCCTCTTTTTGGGACGTTTGTGGAGAGAGAAATGTGGGATTAACGTCGGAGGGCGGTGAACACTGGTGGATGAGAGGTCACTGGCCCTGCAAGGGCTCGCTGCTCCAACACGTCTAATCTTTCTCTCTTAGATCATAGATTCCTTACAGTGTGGAGACAGGCCCTTTGGCCCAACAAGTCCACACCGATCCTTGGATCATCCCACCCAGACCCATCCCCCTATAAATCCACCTAATCTATACATCCCTGAACACTACGGGCAATTTAGCACAGCCAATCCATCTAGCCTGCACATCTTTGGATTGTAGGAGGAAACCGGAGCACCCGGAGGAAACCCACACAGACACAGGGAGAATGTACAAACACCACACAGACAGACAATCAACCGAGGCTGGAATTGAATCCGGGTCCCTGCCGCTGTGAGGCTGCAGTGCTAACCACTGAGCCACCGTAATGCCCCTCTTCACAGATGCCTCCTGCTGAATGCTGCCACCATTTTCTCACCCATCAGATTCCCAGAATTCCTGCTTCCCCTTCTTTCGGAGATGGGCCGGTTCCTGTGAGCTAATTGCCCAGTGTGTCAGGGCAGCCATCTTTGCTACCAGCTAAAGTGTGCACCACACCCTCCTCTCTCATAAGTACCTTTTGTCTCTTCTAGAATATTGCACATGAAAATACTCGAGTCACTGGCTGTGTACAAAACCTAATTTTTACACGTGCTGTATAAAATCTGCAACGACCCCAAGACCACCCCAGACCCTGACGCATCTTGACATGATTCCAGCCTGATACAGTCAGTGCTCTGTGTGGCTGTAGTCATAGCAAAAGTTGTAGTTACTCGGAGCATTAGGGATTGGCGGGGCAGCCTCTGGGATGGGGATGTTCTCCAGATCCAGGAGCCGCAGTTTGACCTCCATGGAGAGCAGGATCTCCAGTTCACTCTTGGTCTGCTCACTGTAGAGCTCCTTACCCAGCAGGACATTCAGGCCATCAGTCCAGAGACAGAACTGAGGAGAGACAAGGGTAAAGCACTGTCACTTCAAAAACAAAAGGCAAGTTCAGGTCATTTTAGTTCAAAATAGGGCTTAGCCTGTGTTTGTTTCCTGAAACAATTCATTCATGGGATGAGGGCATTGCTGGCTAGACCAGCAATTATTGCCGTCTTGCTCGGTTAAGAGTCAACCAAGTTGCCGTGGGTCTGGAGTCAGGTGCAGGCGAGACCAGATAAGACAGTTTCCTTCCCTAAAGGACATTAATGAACCAGGGATAATACAGTGTGGAGCTGGAGGAACACAGCAGGCCAGACAGCATCAGAGGAGCAGGAAAGTTGACGTTTTGGATCGGGACCCTTCTTCAGAAACGCCAACTTTCCTGCTCCTCTGATGCTGCCTGGCCTGCTTTGTTCCCCCAGCTCCACACTGTGTTATCTCTGACTCCAGCATCTGCAGTTCTTACTATTTCATTACTGAACCAGATGCGTTTTTCCCAACAATCGTCAACAGATTCATGGTCATCATTATACACTTAATTCCAGTCTTTATTTTCTATTGACTTCAAATTCCATCATCTACCACAACAGGATTCAAACCCCGGTCCCCAGAACATTAGCTGGGTCTCTGGATTAACAGTCCAGCGATCATACTGCTAGGCCGTTGTCTCCCCATTAACACAGCTGATGGTAGGTTCACAGAATTGTACAGCCCAGCAAACCATTTGGCCTCACATACCAGTGATGTCCCTATTCAATCTGTCCAACTCCCTTACCCTTCCCCAAAGGCCCACCACTATATACCCCAATTGATTTTTGAAAGTTATGTCCGATCCTGCTTCCCCTATTCCAGGCAGCACACTACAGATCACAACAGTGTGGAAAATAAAAATGTTCTCTTTATCCTGCCAGTTCTCCCCTAGCACTTCCTCCTCACCCTCCACATTTCCTCACTCTTCTGCTGATCATCTGAAATCAGAGCTGTCCAGTTATCAACGCTCCAGTGGAAACAGCTTCTCGTTACATTACAGCATTTTCTATACCACAGCAGTTACTACGCTTCAAAAGGGCTTCATTTGAGATGAATTAAGAGGTGCATTATTTCCTTTTATTTTAAAAGGCATACTGTTTGGAAACTCCAGATCATTTGGAACATCTTTATTAAATCTACACTTAATCTTTGCTGCTCCAGAGAGAACAATACCAGCTTGTCCACTCCATTGAAATCTCTCACGCTCTGTATGGGACTAGTAGATCTTCTCTGCACTGTCTTAAAGGCCTTGCCATCCTTCCTACTGTGTCATGCAGAGTACTCTATCTGGGGCCCAGCCACAGCTTTATGAAGGTCTAGCAGAAATTTCTTGCTGTGTCTCCAAGTGCAAAGCTAGCAAACGCAGCTTTATCCTGCCACTTTTGGAGATTTGAGTTTGTGAACTCACAAGTCAGTGTGGCACAAATTTAAAGGGGGTGCTGGAACAGTGAAGTTATTTATTGCCTTTTCCCAGTCTTCAGCCCAAAAAAGCACCACTCCCACATATTGCAGTGTTAAATTTCATTTGCTGTACGCAAAGGAACAAGAGTAGGCTGCTTGGCCTGTTGCATCCTTCAATAAGATCATGGTTGATCTGACTTAAACCTCAATTCTACATTCCTGCATATCCCCCGACATCCCTTTGGTCATCAACAATCTATCTACCTTGGCCTCAAAGACTCTGCAACCACTGCGTTTTGATTTCCAAATAATTACAACCCATGTGTCCACTCATCAGTTTATGCCCTCCTGCTGTCTGTTGTTACTTTTCTCATTGATTGTACCTCACGTTCCCAGACCTTTCCTGCAGTACATGTTTGAGTCTTTTGTTTTATGAACTGGCGATAATCTGGTAACACTGAGTGTAGAGTCATAGATGGTGGTCCCTCTCAGAGCAATTTGGCCCCCTTTCACTGTTGCATTTGACCTTTGACTTCTGTGGCCACTCACATCATATTTGGTTGGTGCTATGAAGTTCAGCGAGTAGTCCTCTGCATCGTACAGGACGGAGAATGCCAGGTCCAGCACCTCCTAGGGACAGAAGTGAGTTCAGGTTAATTTCAAAATCAAAAAGGGGGAAAGAGGAAGAGGGGGAGAAAAAAAAGAGAGAGGAAAAGTCAAAACAGAAGATGACAGGATTCCACAACAGTCTGTCAGCATCGGCATGGGGAGATGACTATCCTCAGTGGAGAGACTTGGGTTGAACCGAGGGATGGAGATTACAATGAGCAGCCTTGGTTTCCAGAGCCCAAAAGAGAATGCAGCAGCAATTGAAGGAACACAGCAAGAAGAGGGGACCACAGGAGATCGGTTTGTACCTTCTCACTGGCAAAGAGGAGGGTCAGAAATCATACAATTGCTGGTTTTACGGTTCTAAAGGGAGACAATGTTGAGCAGGAGGACATGACATAAACCTAAAGAGGTAATTTCAAAAGTAATATGAAAGATCCAATATTTCAATGAGCGAGTGGTTAATCCACGAGACAGGATTAATGAACTGGAGAGGATTCTTCCGAATATAATGTTTGAACATACAGTATGTGAGAAATAAGAGACCTGGCCTGTGGTAAGTTCATTTCGACGTGTGGTTCTCAAAGCTTTCCTCCATTGGGATTTTCCTCACTTCATGTTGCAGGCAAGGCGATGGAGATTGATGGCGGTATTTGTGAACTATATTAAAGTGTGATGCGACTAACAGGGTTGTGGAAGGGATGTTATCATCAGTAGTTCATAAAGCGAACCATCGGACTAAAACGAAACAGACTCCTGATGTGCCGAGTCCCAAAGCAGGTGGGAAACAACTTGGTGGACAAGATGCTAGAGACCGATGTAAACATACTGACAGAGGAGCACGTATCTGAGGTGATAGCAAATTAAATAATAAAAGCCAAAACAAAAACAGGGAAAGTCTATAGTGAAAACAAATGTTTCAGGTAAACAACAGCTCCCCTCAGTTCTTTTTTATTATGCCAGGGTTACGGTGCCGCTATCCGGGACGGGGTTTATTGCCCCTGCCTGATTGAGAAGCTGCTCGTGTGCTATACCTGTGACCTGCTGGGGAGAGCAGGTAGAGTCGATGCTGGCAGGTATGCCCAGACTGGAAGGTGGGCCTCTCCCTTTCTCACCATCATTGTCAGCTCAGGACCTGCAATAAGGACATTGTCCAGACCCATTTCTGAAGAAGGGTCTAGGCCTGAAACGTCAGCTTTCCTGCTCCTCTGATGCTGCTTGGCCTGCTGTGTTCATCCAGCTCTACACCTTGTTATATCATTGTCCAGACCTTGTTGCATTTCAACATGGACTGCCAATCATCGGTGATCATTTTAGTTCTGACCCTAGGATGGAGGGGAAGTCATTGATGAAGCAGCTGAAGATGGTTGGGCCAAGGATATTCCCCTGAGGAACTGCTGCAGAGATGTCCTGAGGTTGTTGACATGCTCGCCGAGCTGGCTTGTTCTCGTTCAGACGTTTCGTCACCATGCTCGGTGACATCATCAGTGAGGTCTCTGGGGAAGCGATGTTGTTCTACTCTGCTTGGAATTTATACTGTCCGTTCCGTTATGGTGAGTACTGACATTTCCGGTTTTGATCTGTATGGGCTTGTATATGGGGTCCAATTCTATATGTTTGTTGATTGAAGTATGGGTGGAGAACCATGCCTCTAGGAATTCCTGTGTGTGTCTATGTTTGGCTTGGGCTGCTATGGTTACCTTGTCCCAATTAAACTGATGACCTTCATTGTCTGAGTGTACAGATATTAAGGAGAATTTGTCGTGCCGTTTTGCTGCTAGCTGATGTTCACGTATTCTGATAGCTAGTTTCCCTTCTGGCTGCTGATGTAATGTTTGTGGCAGTTGTTGCATGGTATTTTGTAAACCACGTTGGTCCTGCATGTTGTGGGAATGGGGTCTTTAATCCTTGTCAGTGTTTATCATAGAGAGGCTGTGGGCTTGTGGGCCACCATGATTCCTAGTGGTCTTGGGAATCTTGTTGTCAGTTCCGATATGTTCCTGATGTAGGGAAGTGTGGTCAGTGTGTTAGGGCATACTGTGTCCTCCTGTTGTTGTCTGTTATGTAGGCATCTGTCGGTGAAGTTGCGGGGATATCTGTTTAAGGTGAGGATCTTGTGTAAGTGTTCTTCTTCTTCCCGGCGTAATTCTGGAGTGTTGCGGTGTGTCCTGGCCTGTTTAAATAGTGTCCTAATGCAGCTTTGTTTGTGGACGTTGGGGTGGTTGCTGCAGAAGTTGAGGATTTGATCAGTATGGGTTGCTTTTCAGTATACTGAGGTTTGGAACTCCCCGTTTGTCAATCGTTCCACTTTGACATCCCGAAACGGAAGTTGATTGTTGGTTTCTTCTTCCCTTGTGAATTTAATCCTTGTGAATACGCTGTTGATGAGGTGGTGGGTCTCTTCTAATTTGTTGCGTTTAATAATGACAAATGTGCCGTCCACGTACCGGATCCACAGTTTAGGTTGAATGTTGCGGGGGGTGGTGTGTCCTGGAGCTGAGATGACTGACCTCCAACAACCACAATCGTCCTACTATGTGCCAGGTATGACTCCAACTAGCGTCCAGTTTTCTTGTTTCACCAGGTTGATACCTCATCTTCAGGTGTGCCTGGTGCTGCTCCTGGCATGCCCTCCTGCACTCTCCACTGAACCAGGGTTGATCCCCTGGCTTGATGGTAATGGTAGAGTGGGGATTTGTCCGGTGGCAGATCTCTGCCCTCCTCTAGCTCCGGCTTCTAACACATCCCCAATTTCCTTTGCCCCCCCCCCCATTGGAGGCTGTGCCTCTAGCCATCTTGGCCCAATGTCATGTTGCGGCTGTACAGGACATTGGTTAGCACACTTTTGGAATACTGCATTCAATTCTGGTCTCCCTGCTACAAGATGTTGTTAAACTTGAAAGGGCTCAGAGAAGATTGACAAGGATTTTGCCGGGGTTGGAGGGTTTGAGCTATAGGGGGAGGCTGAATAGACTGGGGCTATTTTCCCTGGAGCATTGGATATGGAGGGTGACCTTATAGAAGTTTATAAAATCATGAGGGGCATGGATAGGGTGAATAGCCAAGGTCTTTTTTTTCAGGATAGGGGAGTCCAAAACTAGACGGCATAGGTTTAAGGTGAGAGGGGAATGATCTAAAAGGGACTTATGGGGAACATTTTCACGCAGCATATGAAATTAGCTACAAGATTAGGTGGTGCAGGCTGGTACATTTACAACATTTAAAAGGATTTGGATGGCTATATGAATAGGAAGGGTTTAGCTGGCAATTAATTTAGGATATCTGGTTGGCATGGACGAGTTGGAGCGAAGGGTCTGTTTCCGTGCAGTACATCTTGATGACTATGACTCTGCAATTTCCTCTCTAAAACTCTCCAAGTCTTGAGTATTTAAATTGTTCCATGCAACCTACGTCTTTCACCAATCTTGGTCACCAATTGTAACATTCCCTAACGAGGCTCATTGTCAAATGCTGTTTGATATTGTTTCTGTGAAGTATTGAGGATATTTTTATAATAATCAACCTGTTTGGACAGACCTGTGTGGCAGGTGAACCTTGCACCTGGATCTTCTGGCCCACAGCAAGGGACATTGTCTCACAAGACCCCTTTACCTTGGGATGTTAGATGTTACATAAATGCAAATTTTGTTGTGGCTGTACCTGAAGGAAGATGGTCAGCTGACTTCAGAAAACTGCAACTTGTGTGGCAGCTTGGTGAATGTAATCTGAGGGAACGCACAAAAACATCTCTTGATTCAATGAATGAATCCGATCGTTATGTTACCTCCTTAGATAGACAGCAGGCCCCAGGGGACTCTTGGGTTGATTTTTCCCTTATTACCCCACTCCGGCCTGATTTCTGACAGGACTGAGATGGAAGCCAGTTGGAGGCACCATCAGTATTCTGATGTAGCTCACCAGATTTAAGTGTTTTTAATTGGAGTGGCTGTCTGTGGTAATTCCGCTTGTGGGAGATGGGTCATATTGTGTCAGGTTTTTGTGGTGTCCGAAGCCCTCACCTCCATTACCACAGGTCTCGGTACTTACTCGGTTCTGTTTCAGGGTGCTCTTCTCCTTCATGTGGGGACAGTCCTTCCCGGTCACCAAGGCCTTAATATCGGCCACAGGAACTGAAAGGGAGGCACTCAGTAAGTGTTGGATTTGGTTGGTGTTACAGCTCGACATTTACCCATTCAGTCTCTGCCGCCCCCAATATCTAACAGGCTCTTTGGCCTGTTCATCACGTGTTTGAGATACGGGCCTCCAACCTCCAGCTGCCTGACCTCAAAACCAATCACAGACTCAGAGTGAAATGCCACAGGAGAAGAGCTTTTAGCCCATTGTCCTTGAGCCAGTTCTTTAATGGAGCTGTCTTAATTAATCCCAGTCCCCTGCTCTTTTCCCATAGCCCTGTCATCTTTGTTTTTCTCTCTGGCATTTCTCCAGTTCCCTGTGGAATATTAATACTGACCCGGCATGATCACCCGCTAAGGCAGAGCATCGTAGGTCAAATTTACAACCTGCTAAGTAAAAAAAACGATTTGTTCACGCTTGGAACATCATGGAATGGAATGCAACTTGGACAAAAATAGGAGATATGTTGCTGTCATTTTACTTCACCATGTCATCCCTGTGCACCTCTGACTTCACCAGTGATGTCACCTCCCTGTGGTGTCATTAGTGATGTCACCTGGCCACGATGTCGCCAGTGATGTCACCTCACCACGATGTCGCCAGTGATGTCACCTCACCACAATGTCGCCAGTGATGTCACCTCACCACAATGTCGACAGTGATGTCACCTCACCACAATGTCGACAGTGATGTCACCTCACCACAGCGTCGCCAGTGATGTCACCTCACCACGACATTGCCAGTGATGTCACATCACCACGACATCACCGGTAATGTCACCCCCTATGATTTCTGTAACATGATGAAAAGAATTTGCTTAGCTCAAAGAGGAGGCAATAGGTAGGCTCCAGTTGGCAATATGTGATCTGTGTTGTCACCTAGAGGTTATAACGTTTCACTTTATCAATAATTTAGACGAAGGAATGAAGAGCCAAGCCTAAAGGCAGTAGTGTAATGCAATGAGAGCAGAAGGTTGCATGAGGTGGTTTAAGTGAGTGGGCAAAACTGTGCAGATGATTGTAGGAAATTATCTCATCATCCATTTTGGTAAGGTAGATCAGGGTACATTCTGTGTAGTGAGAAGTGATGAATTGTGTAAGTCAGAGAGATTTTGAAGTCACAGCTTCCACTCCAGTCTAACAGACAGGTGCACAAAGAAAGGAATTGGTTTCTGGAATACAAAGGTCTGGAGGTTATGTCACAGCTTTATAATGCTCTCTGGAGTTTTGTATTTAGTTGCGGGCACCATATGTCAAAAGGAGTAGACTCACTCTTGAGGGTGCTACACAGATTCATCACAATGATTCTGGGGTTAAAAAAAGACTACATTCAGCGAACAGGTTGCATAGATTAGGCTTGTGTTCCCCTTGAGTAAAGATGATTAAGGATGTTGTGATTGAAGTGCTTCAAGTATTTGATGGGGAGAAGAGGGAGAAACTATTTTCTTTGGTGGGAGAAACCAGAAAGGGAGGACAGAACCTTTAGATTAGATGTGGTCTGGTCTGGGGCTATTTGAGAAACCATTTCTTCACAGAAAAGTTAATGGAAACCTGGAACTGTCTCCCTAAAAAAAAACTGTCGAAACTGGGAATCAGTTTGAAGCTTTAGGACAGTACTTCATGAGATTAAGAGTATTGAAGGGACTTGGAATTAAGGTAGGCAGGCATGTGATCTGGATCTGATGAAGCACAATCTGATTGATTGGTGTCAGTACAGGCTCAAGGGGCTGAATGGCTTCCTCCAGATCCAGAGTATCTGGATGTGAATGATTACTGGCTCATCCTCCCATTCCCAATAAGTAGAATTTTCCCTGTGTATCTTTACAAAATGAGGGACAAACATTGCTCTCACCCCACCCTGATTCACAATTCAGCCCATTTCTGAATCGCAGTCAGGGGTCTGAACCATTCTTAGGCTCAGAGAAGACTCACTTGCGGTGGGAGAATCTCAAACGGAGTTGGTGGCATTACCATCCAGTCCCACTGCCACTGAGACTTCAACCCAATTCATTTTGCGTTTAGTGCTCTGAAATGTTCAAGGCGGATGCTAAAATACCATGCAAATGCTTGGCCCAGACCTCCGTGTGGCTATCTCGTGGCGTTTGTTCGACTGATTGGAATGACCTAGTGGATAAAAGATGCAGTCAAAGTGCCTCGAAACAGGTCACCCAGAGAATGGCTCTGGAAACAGTGACTGCTCTTTTCTTCACTAAACAATACCACGTTTACTGCTCAACTGGCCTCTTCCCAGCCTGACCTTATCTCAAGTCATCAATGTACGCTTCTGGTCTTCCCCCTGCCTCGTGTACATGTTGTAGCCAGTCCCACATTGTCACCACGCATCTCACTTAATAAAAGCAACTTTTCTTGAACAACACAATTTGACAGATGGCAAAGGATTGACCGTGTTTGCGGAACATTCCGGCAGCAGTACGTACTCTTCTCCTGCAGAAGCTCGATGGCTGGATTCTCGTCCCTTTCCTCCACATCCCCGTAATGAAGCACCTTGTGATTGGGTGACAGGCGGCAGTACCACAGCTTATCTGTCGGATTGAACACAAGGAAAAGGTTAACCCTTGGCACCTCCATTCCACTCCCCCCGCCTCCACCACTATCTTGGGCCATTGTGGGGACAATAAGGCTCCCCACCCTGAGTTCACACTGGCCTCCACTCAACTCCGCACTGTACACCCAGTCAGCATTCCACTGAATAGCAAAGAAACAGGCCATTTGGCCCATCTGGTCCATGAATGTTTCTGTATCAAACAAGACTCCTACTACAACATTCACTCTCTCAGCACATCCTTCAATTCCCTTATCGCTCATGTACTTACTTAGTAGTGCTGGGAATATTTTGACGATATTCAACTCAAACATGTGGGTTCCACATTCTCACTGGTCCCTCTGGCTGGAGAATTCCTCCTGAATTCCCTCTTGGAGTTCTCAGTGACTACGGATGGCCTGCAATTTTCACCTCCCGGGAACGCAAATGCTTCTCTATATCTAGACTATGAACCCTGTCCATAATCCCTTCCTTAATGAAAGATTTTGGGGCAGCACGGTGGCACAGTGGTTAGCACTGTTGCCTCACGGTGCCAGGGACCCGGGTTCAATTCCACCCTCGGGCGACTGTCTCTGTGGAGTTTGCATATTCTCCCCGTGTCTGTGTGGGTTTCCTCCGGGTGCTCCGGTTTCCCCCCACAGTCCAAAGATGCGCTGGCTAGGTGGATTGGCCGTGCTAAATTGTCCGGGGATATGTAGGCTAGATGGATTAGCCGTGTGAAATGCAGGGTTATGGGGATAAGGTGGGGGGAGTGTGGTGGGCTTTTCAGAGGGTTGGTGCAGACTTGCTGGGCTTTTTGCGGCTCTGTACGATTCACGACCTCTAGTGGTCACCTCTGGTTTTGAGAGGGACTCGGCCCATTCACCCTTCTTCTGGTAAGTAGAACCCAGTTGAGCTCTGAAATTCTCTCTCAGGTCAATCCTGCCACCACCTGGTGTGTAGCTGTGCCCTCTGGCTAGATCCAGCAACGCGTCCTCCGGATCCAAAGACAACTTGGAATCGTCCCAGCTCTCTATACCTCGATTAACTGGTAGCGATGGATCAAAGTCCCTCACACTGACAGGGGTTGGCATGCGGTGGCAGCCGTTGTGGGCAAGGTGATTCAAAGGAGGTGATTTACAGCCTGTTTACATCAGGGCTGCCAGTTCCAATTAAATCCCATCATATTAGCACCAGATTGGAAATCAAACAGTGCCCACTTTCAACTGTTTAATCGTTATTGATCTGTGCCTGACCCCGACCCTCCCCCACACTCCCTCGAGGGTTAATGCCCATACATTAGGCTCTGGTCTCCAATCTGTCACTTCATGGGAATGAAATGCTGTCAGGGGAAGCAATGAACGGTGACAAATGCTGCTGCTGGCTCTGCATTGACAGGACAATATATTTCCTCTGTGCAAACGGCTCAGCAAGTTTTATCAAAACCTTCTATAGGGGAGGCCTGACATCTGACTTTCAACACCAAACCAAGATCCACCTCAAAGCTCAACAGGGTGGGGACAATCAAAAACCGCTTGGGTTTAATCAGGACGATTACGGCACACACACACATACTCACTCACACACACACACACATACTCACTCAC